TAATGTAAGCTACTGGAGGCCTTCCATTCATTCACAAAAATGTTAGAGGAAGTTTACTGAGTTTCTCAAAAATTCTAAGTGGAATTTGGGATTGGGACTGCATGGAATTTTAGATTATTTGGTGGGGGGGTGATTTTTTAGCTGAACAAGATGCATGTACAGGCCTTTTGTGGGAAATGTGGACAGACTATAAGGACAAGTAAGGAACGGGCTCTGGGCTGGGTCTCTGATTTGGGGATGATGCCCTGGGCCCTGCCTGGAATAGGGTGGGGAATAGGGGGCCCCTGACACTCACCAGGGTCCAGGCTGTCCCCTGGCATCTTTGATAGTAGAACTGGCAGACCAAGACCTTATGGGGTGGCCACACAGGCGGGGCCCAATGGACAATGGCCTCCAGGGGCTCATCCTCTGAAAAGTCCACGTCAGGGTACAGCCGGGGGGCATCTGGCTTCACTGAGGAAGGGGAGGCCAGATGCATTAAGCCAGGGCCTCCGGGACCACCCACTCCACACAAAGCACACCCCCCCATCCCGCCTGTTACTTCGGGTTTCCAGGTTCACGAAGACTGGGGGCCAGAGAGTCTGGCCTGCCTTGGTACCCCAGACAAGCAGTTCATCAGACATGGTAAGCTGTTCCCGGAGGATGGTCACCCAGCTCTGTCCGGTGGGCACTGCCACAGTCCACGTTCTGTTGGAATGGCTGTGGAGAAGAGAGGTGGGGATGGGGGGTGTGGTGTATATGGGGTTGGGTCCAGAGCCATCATGATAACTCCTCTGCCTGGGTTCAAATCCCAGCTCTGCTGCTTCAGAGCTGTGTGACCTTGAACAAGTGACTTGACTTCTCTGTGCCTGTGTCCTCAGCTACAAAACGAGGGTGATAGAAATACCTGCTGAAGAGCTGGAGAGTGAGGGGAATCAATGAGCTAATAAACGGATTGTGTTTAGAACAGTGCTGGGTGCCCAATACATGTGAGCATTGCTTATTGTATTTATTGGCACCTACTTATATGTCCGCACATTTACACTTATGCAACTACCGAGTCAGCAAAACACCTAAGTATATGATTGGTGATAAAGAATAGTCTTCAGGGTGAAGAGGATGCAGTGTGATGATGTGGTGAGGAATGACAGTGCTATTTCAGGCAGGGTGGTCAGGAGAGATCTCTCAGATGAGACTTTTGAACAAAGGCCTGAAGGACAGGAGGATGGAGCCGTGCAGTACCTGGGGGAAAGCATTTTAGGAAGAGGCAGCCGCGGCAGGTGCAAAGGCCCTGAGGTACACTCACTGGTGTGTTTGAGGAACAGCAAGGAGGAGGCCTGCAGGACAGGAGTGGAACGACTGAGGCGGACAGTGGGCGGAGGTGAGGGCAGGGAGGTGACAGGCAGAGTGTGCAGGGCCTGGCAGGCCACAGGAAAGACTTGGGCTTTTACTCTGAGTGAGGTGGGACCCCTGGAGGGCGGGGAGCAAAGCAGAGATGTGCCTGACGCAGATGGTAACAGGCGCCCCCTGGCGGGTGTGGCGGAGAACAGACTGTGGGCTTGAAGGTGCAAGCCAGGGGCCCGAGGGAGGAGGTTACTAACTGCACGGCCCAGGTTAGCCATGATGGATGGGGGTTGGACCAGGGTGGGTGCCCAGGAAGTAGAGTGTCAGATTCCGGATAATGTAGAAAGTGAAGCCGGCGGGGCGCCTGGGTGGCTCAGTCGTTAAGCGTCTGCCTTCGGCTCAGGTCATGATCCCAGGGTCCTGGGATCGAGCCCCGCATCGGGCTCCCTGCTCGGCGGGAAGCCTGCTTCTCCCTCTCCCACTCCCCCTGCTCTTGTTCCCTCTCTCGCTGTGTCTCTCTCTGTCAAATAAGTAAATAAAATCTTAAAAAAAAAAAAAAGAAAGTGAAGCCGGCAAGGCTTGCTGACAGACCAGATGTGGGTGACAGCGAGCCGGCGTTGAGGATATCCTGAAGGATTAGATTTCAGAGGTTCAGAACAAGGCCTTCATAAAACAACAGCAACAACAAAAATGCAGGTGTTGGTGAAGATGTGGAGACATTGCAGCCCTAGTACACTGCTGGTGGGAACAGAAGATGTCGCAGCTGCTGCAGAAAAGTTTGGCAGTTCCTCAAAAAGTTAAACACAGAATTGCTATAGGACCCAGCAATTCCACTCCTAGGCATAGACCCCAAAGCATTGAAAACAGGAACTCAAGAACTTGTCCATGTATGTTCATAACAGTGAAAGTCACAATCGCCAAAAGGTGAAAGCAAACCATATGTCCACCAACAGATGAATGGATACACCAAGTGTGGTGGATCCAACAGTGGAATATCACTCAGCCATAAAAAGGAAGGGTGTTCTGATTCCTGCTACCATGTGGATGGACCTCAAAAACATGCTAAGTGAAAGAAGCCACACAAAAGGCCATATTTCTTATGATTCCATTTATATGAAATGTTCAGAACAGGCAAATCCATACAGACAGAAAGCAGGATAGTGGTTGCCAGGGGCTAGTGGGGGGTTGGGGAGTAGGACAATGGGGAGTGACTGCTCATGGGGATGGAACTTCCTTTTGGGGTGATGAGAATGTTCTGGAACTAGACAGAGGAGGTGGTTGCACAACACTGTGAATGTACCAAATGCCACTGAATTTTTTTTTTTTTTAAGATTTTATTTATTTATCTGACAGAGAGAGAGGAAGAGAGCACGAGCAGGGGGAGGAATAGGGGGAGAGGGAGAAGCAGACTCCCTGCTGAGCAGGGAGCCTGACATGGAGCTCGATTCCAGGATGCTAGGATCATGACCTGAGTGGAACTTCAGTGGTTCCACTGAGTGGAAGCCACCCAGGCACCCCATGAATTGTTCATTTAAAAATGGGTTAGCTTTGGGGTGCCTAGGTGGCTCAGTCGTTGAGCGTCTGTCTTCGGCTCAGGTCATGATCCCAGGGTCCTGGGATCGAGCCCCACATCGGGCTCCCTGCTCGGTAGGAGGCCTGCTTCTCCCTCTCCCACTCCCCCTGCTTGTGTTCCCTCTCTCGCTGTGTCTCTCTCTGTCAAATCAGTAAATAAAATATATTTTAAAAATGGGCTAGCTTTATGTGATGTGAATTTATCTCACTAAAAAAAAGGGGGGACCTTCTCTGACTCCTCTGTCTTACACCATTTAAAACTAGGCCCCTCTGAAGAGGAATGGCGGTGATGATTGCACAACAATGTGAATGTATTTAATGTCACTGAACTGTGCACTTAGAAATGGTTGAGGAAAAAAAGAGTACATTTTATGAGTATTTTACCATCATTAAAAAAAAAAAAAACAAGTGACGCCTGGGTGGCTCAGTCAGTTAAGCGTCTGCCTTTGGCTCGGATCATGATCCCGGGGTCCTGGGATTGAGCCCCACGTCAGGCTCCCTGCTCAGCAGGAGCCTGCTTCTCTCTCTCCCTCTGTGTGCTCGCTCGCTATTTCTCTCTCAAATAAATAAATAAATAAATCTTAAAAAAAAATACCCACCCACCCCACCGTGGTTCCCACCTTTCAATGCCCCTTTACTCCTCCCTCACTTAGCCAAATTTGAAATGAATTTGAGTTTGCAGGTGTGATTCATCATGAAGGAACCCAGGTCTCCCCCTTGACTGTGGGCTCCACGAGGGCCAGGCTTTCTGTCTACCTCTTTCATTGCTGCATCCCTGGCACCAGACCAAAGTATCTTTTTATACCCTCAGAGAAGTTAGGCTACCTGCCTAAGGTCACACAGCAATAAAAAACAGCTCTAATTATTAAGCAATTTCTCTTTGCCAATGCCTAATTCACTGAATCCTCACAACTAACGCTGGGAGGCAGTTTCTTTATTATCACCTTTTGACAGTGGAGGAAAGAGAGGCTCAGGGAAGGAAGGTGACTGGTCTCGGCTCACACAACAAGGAAATGCTGAAACCTGGAATCGAAGGGCTGGAGAGGGGGAGGGCTGCGGAGCAGAAGTATTGGGGTCCTCTCAACCTGAGTTATGCTGGGACCTGAGTGGCCACCCCTCTAAAGCCTCAGTTTCCCCAAGTCAGCCGGTTGTACTCACTACTTCTGGCTCTGGAGGTGCAGCGTGGAGGGGGCTCCCAGGTCCCCAAGAGCTTCCCACGAGCAGTTCAGGTCGCCCAAGGGTCCAACTCCATAGCACTGCAGTGGCCCAGGGCTGTCTGGAGAGGGAGGCGGGGGTGGGGTGAGGTAGGGAGGGTGTCCCAGGGAAGGGGCTCAATTCCCCCATCCTGCACATCCCAGAACCTGAACTTCCCCCGACTTCTGCCAATTGTGGAGGGCGATCCGGGGGTCCCTTCCGGGGATGAGCAGCAGGAAGGGGGCGCTGGACACCCCTCCCCAGGCTTCGGGCATAACTCCTCCCCTCCCTCTGCCAGCCACATCCTGTTACCCACCTCGCGGCCGACCCCCCCTCCCGCCACCCCGTGCGCCAACTCCTCTCTCCGCCCGGTCCCCGCCCGGGGAGGTGCAGGGTGGCGTCTGCACCGGGGGCGTTCATGCCGCAAACCTGCGGTGCAGGTGGAGCCTCGCGGCGAGCGCGGCGGCCGAGCGCCCGCCACGGGCTCGCTCCACAACTCACCCTGGGACCGAGTCCGGTGGCCCAGCAGCAACAGCAGAGGCAGCAGCACCAGCTTCGGCCGCGGCCGGAAGGGGGCGGCCCGGGCCCCCCGCATGGCGCCGCACCGCGGCCCGAGTCCCGCCAGGCTCTGCCCGGCCCAGCGCGGCCGCCCCGCTCGCCTGGCTGTACGCCCCAGCGCCGAGCGGCGACGGGAAGCGCCCCTCCCCTCCCAGCCGCCTCCGCACCTTGCGCTCCGGGACCCCGCCCCTTCCCCGCGGCGGAAAATCCCCGGCGGCGCCGGCTGGGGCTGCGGAAGGGGAGGAGGGGCGGCCTGGGGCTTGCGGCGGCCTCTGCCGCGGAGAACCCCTGAAGCCCGTGCGGCGCCCAACACAGCCCCCCGCCCCCGCTATGATACATTCACACGCCGCAAAGTCCTTTGGAACTTTTATTATTGGGGTTGAAGAAGGTTCTGATCCGTCCCCTCAGCGAGCCTCCCACCCCAGGATGTGAAGGGAACCCAGGGCTCCCACCACCAGTTCTAGGATCCCCAGCTTTAGAACCCCAGCAGGTGGGGCTGGAGGGGGAGGGGCTGAAGGCAGGGAGAAAGGGGTAGGCGAGGGCTGGAATGGAGCAGGAACATAATTTGGGCTGGTCGGGAGACAGAGGCCGCAGTTGGGGCAAGAGAGAATCAGTTAGGGCAAAGGTCTGGATGAGGGTAGATCGGTTTGGGTAGAGTAGGGGCACCGTTAAAGCAGAGAGGAATGTAGGCTAGGCAAAGACATGATACGGCCTGGGGAGAGGTCAGGGGTCAGGACCAGAGGTTTCCATTTGGCCAGGTAGGGACAGTTTGCTCAGGGTGAGGATAGGCTGGTCAAAGGTCAGGGTCATTTAGGGGGGACTGTGTCTGAGTGCACAGGCCTGATCTGATTTGCGGGTGGATGAATGCATGAGAAGCCAGAGACAGGTGCCCAGCTGGACCCTGGGCCCCTGGCCACCAAGTCACTGGTCTAGCAGAGGCTGCTGATTTCACTCTTACTGCACCCCCACTTGCAGCAGTTGCTGGAGAGGCCCGCCACGACATCACGGCCACCACGCAGAGCCCCCGGAGTCCCCCCATAGAAAGCCTGGGGGTACTTGGTCAGGGCCAACCACTCGCTGGAGGCTACTGCCTCATCCAGCTCACTGTCTGGGTCCGAGTCTGCATCTGGGAAGGGGAAAGATGAAAAGAGTTAGTGCTTGGGGCTCAGTTTCTGTCACAACCAGAGTCTGGCTGGCCCAGCTACTTCAATTCTTGTGATGCAGCCTCATGGTCAAAGGTTTTATTCCATACAGACCCAGGTTCCAGCTTTGGTGGGCAAATTATTCAACCTCACTGAGCTTGCCTTTTCTCTCTTGTCATTTCTTTTCTCCTACTCTTTATTTATTGAGAACCTGATGGTTAAGAGCATGTGTTTGGGGGGCACCTGGGTGACTCCATCAGTTAAGCCTCTGACTCTTGATTTCGGCTCAGGTCATGATCTCAGGGTCATGGATCGAGCCTCGCGTAAGGCTCTGCACTCAGTGAAGTGGGGAGTCTGCTTGAGGATTCTGTCTCTCTCTCCCTCTGCCCCTTCCCCCTGACTCATGCTATTTCTCTCTCTCTCTCAAATCAATCAATAAATCTAAATAAAAATAAATAAATAAAATGGGGCTCTTAAAAAAAAAAAGAACATATGTTTGGGAGCTGAACTAAGCACCAATCCAGCCTCTCTGAGTTATAATCCTGAGCATATGAATTTACTTGTCTGACTCTTGGTTTCCTTCTCTGCAAAGTGGGGGTACTAATAACTCCTATCTTCTAGAGTTTTATATGGAGTAAATGAGATAATTAATACTCAAAGAAAAGCTTAGAACAGTGTCTGGCACACAAGAAGCATTCAAAATAGCCCTGATCATTTACTGAGCACTTATTATGTGCCAGACACTGTTCTAAAGGATTTAGTGGATTAACTCCTTTATTCCTCACAATGACAACCCCATGAAGTGGGTGCAGCTGTTATCATTTCCAATTTCCAGACGAGAACACCGAGGCACAATTTGGTAGGCTAACTTGTGCAAGAAAACCCAGCTATGGGGGTGCTTGGGTGGTTCAGTTGGTTGAGTGTCTGCCTTCGGCTCAGCAGGAAGCCTGCTTCTCTCTCTCCCACTCCCCCTGCTTGTGTTCCCTCTCTCACTGTCTCTGTCAAATAAATAAAATCTTAAAAAAGAAAAGAAAACCCAGCTATGAAGTTGTAGGGCTGCTACTTGAACCCAGGCAGTGTGTCTTTCCGGTCCATATTCATACGATCATCATCACGAACCCCCCCCTTTTTTTTTTGGCCAGGCTCCTGTCCCTCATGAAACTAGGCCCCATGCCCCCTGCTTGAGCCCTGACTGAACCCCTTGCCCAGTTTAGATGGTGTCCTAATCTGTTTTTGACTCAGTGTTGCCACTTAACCATCCTGGGAGATTCAGGGACTGGGCCTCCTATTTTCGGATAAAGGGGCTCGGAGAGGGTAACCAACTCGTTAGGAAGGTCACCTGCTAGGTGGCAAAATCTGGCCTTGTGTACCCCACACTACCTTCCTCGGAGGTTGAAAAGCACTTCAGTGTCAGTTTCTAAATGGCATCCCACCTCCCACCCCACCCCCCATCCTAGGAGTTGTGCAAGCAGCAGCCTTGCTTAAGGCAGGCTCACACTCGGCAGGTGCTCCAGAAATAGTAGCTAGTTCTTGGATGACTAGAGGGTGTGGATGGCTTGCCACCCCGTCCCGGCTCTGCTAACTGGCTCATCCCACCTCCGCCCAACTTTGAGGCCTGGGCAAGTTCCTCCAGTTGCACGTAGTAGGACAGGGACTCTTCTGCCCCGTCCCTGGCTCTTTGGACCATCCCATGTCCCATCCACTGTCCACCCCCTCCCCCCGCACGCTACCTCCCAGCCTCACCCGTAGCTTCAGGAGCCACGATGTCCGACCGTCTCCACCGGGAGCCCCCGCAGGTGAAGATGACTGCCCGGATGAATTCCCGGCCGCAAAGCTTCACTCCGTAGGGCGATGCCCAGGCCTCAGCCCTCAGCCACAGCTCCCCAGCCAGCACCCACATGGTCAGCAGCAACAGCAGCGGGCACTTGGCCATGCTGGACAGGAACACCTGGGACTCTGGAGCACAGCGAGGCAACTTCCCTGGGTGTCTGTGACTCTGCTGCCTCCTGGCCCCCCATTTATACATCCTGGCTCCCCCCACCTGTCATGGAGAAGGCAAGTGACCTCCTTTATCTCCTTCAGCAGAGGGGATAAGGGCATGGCCCCCCCGCCCGACCTTTCCCGTTTCCAGGACCAAGTGATAACCTTTAACCATGGATGGGGTGACGTGGTCCAGCTCACTGTCATCTTCAACAGAGAGGGTGAGAAGGTCTCAGTTCAGCAGAGACCAGGAACCCAGACCCCACCAGATGGGAAGAGAGGACACAGCCAGATACCACCCCCCCATAGGACCTCCTCCATGAATAATATCAACAATGATAATGAGCATTTCCACAGTATGGGCTGGGCTGCGAGGCCAGGCACCTCTCTAATTATTTTATAACTACTTAATCCTCCCAATAACCTATGATAATGGTTCTCAAATTTGAGCAAGCCTCAGAATCTCCTGGAGGTCTTGTTAAAACCCTATTTTAAAATAGGGCCCTATTTACAGAGCATCTGAGAATCTGCATTTGCAACAAATTTCCAGGCTTTGCTGATGCTGCAGTGGTCCAGAAACCACACTTTTGAGAGCCCCTGGACTATGAGATTAGGACTAAGATTATCCCCATATTACAGACAAGGAAACCGAGGCACAGAGTGGTGACAGAAGGTGCCCACGCTCAGCTAGTAAGGGGGTGGGGTGGAGATGGAGATTCCAACAGAGCCATCTGGCTCCAGAATCCATGCCCTCCAAGGGAAAATTTTAAGGATCAAAAAAAATTATTATGGGGACAGAGTTTCAATTTTGCAAGATGAAAAGAGTTCTTGAGATGGATGGTGAATGTGCTTGATGTCACCAGGCACTTAAAAATGGTTAAGATGGCGGGGGGAGCGGAGCAAGATGGCAGAGGAGAGGAGACCTGGATTTCGTCTCCTCTCAGGAATTCAGCTGGATAGGGATCAAACCATTCTGAACACCTACAAACTCAACAGGAGATCGAAGAAAAGAAGAGCAACAACTCTCTGAACAGAAAAGCGACCACTTTCGGGAAGGTAGGACGTGTGGAGAAGTGAATCCGAGGC